AATACCTCCTTATTCCACTTACGACTTTCCTCTTGAAAGGAAAAAAATATTTTTTTTCATTGAGGTAAGGTATTATTGTTCCAAGAGTTCTTCAAAAAATCATTGAAACCAGGGTGATCATTCCAGGCCGAAACAAAATGGAAAGGCTTTCTATGCTTGTTTTGAGTATGACAATCAGTTTGAAGACAAATAGGTCTGTGATCTGAACCTATTTTCTGTAGGCGCATAATTTCCGAAGAAACAAAAGTCTCATACCACCGGTTATTGCACAGACATCTACCGAGCCGTGTTTCAAATTTCCACGCTGCCAAGTAAATTGAGTCCCTTGGAATCCAATGTCCAGAAGTCTAGATTGAAACAGAAAATCAAGAAACTTGTGGCAGATTCTCGATCTTCGCTGGGAGCTTCGCTACGCTCATCAGAACTGTAAATGGTGTTAAAATCACCACCTAGAACCCAGGGCATGCCAAGATGACTCCAAAACAATCAGATTATCCCACACTTTGTTACAAAACGACTATCTGGGCTGGCATAGAAGAACTAATAAAGAAACCTCGTCGTAGCGCTGTATCAAACCCATAACCATGAAGGAACTGATTCGAAGCAACAAGGAAGTCCAAAGTGATTGATCTTCTCCACAAAACTCAAATACTGTCGAAGAACCCATTGTCTTCTACTATGAAAGATAAATTAAACCCCGTATTTTTAATAAATTAATCAGCCCGAAAATCACTCACTCATGGCACCATTAATGCAATAAAATCTGGATTATGAAGTTTTATAAGCAACTTGAAATAGCGATTAAAAGCAAGGCCAAGGATACCTTGTGTGTTCCAGAACAACACTTTAACCATTAAAAAGGATGAAAAATAAAGAATATTGAGTACGATTAGACCTGGCGATCCCCAGCAACATTCCCTTCAAACGTTGTATTCAGCTTCACTGCACCGTGCTAGCATCTTGCTGCTGCATATCCGTAGGATTATCCACTTTTGTATTTGAACCGACGATAATTATGTTGAGCACACTGCTCATTGCATTAACTCAATCTAATAGCAGTTGTTTTTTCGGCCACCTATCATTTTTTTCGTGTTTTAATCCTCTTCTTTGACAACCCTTTAGTTATTGCTATTCCTCTCAAAGAAGTTTTGGATGAAAAACTTAGGTTGGAGGGTCGAGGAGGCCAACCATTGATTTCTTTTAGGGCTAATCTTTGTCCTCCAACATCAATTTTTAAAGTTGTATGGTTCCCATCAGCTCCATATTTCCGAATTTCAACAGAGTTTTCCTTTAAAGTAACCACTATTATTTCCTTTTTCTTCCCATCACTGTTCCCATCAATCTATATCACTATATTCTTGCTAATCTCCTTGTTTATATCAATAGAGCTAACCGAACCACTAGGGTTTACCTGGTCATTCACACCAACTTCCTTTTGTGCCTTGCAACTTTGCTTCGTGCGTGCATGAGAATTGTCCTACTTCATTGGTTTGTTCTTTACGTTCTTTTGGGTTGTTATGACCCGAACCTCATTCACTCGCTGACTCGGCGTGTTACTCATCTACGGTTCAGAACTCCCATCTACTTCAACCATCGCCAATGCACCATATCGAGAACCTTCAGCAGTATTCCCCTTGGAAATGAGATCTCTTGAATTAGCTTATGGTTGTTTCCCTTGCAATACCTTTTTTCTTTGAGGAACCTGCTTCCATGTCCCATACGGTTCTTTCGGTCGAGTAGCCTCCACGCTCGGCTTATCAACAATTGGTTCACCATTGGTGGTAGTTGGTTCACCATACGGTTCTTTGAGGAAAATCTGTCTCTCTTCCCTTCTGTAGTATTGTAATCTATTTTGACAACTGTGCCAAGGGCCTCTGCAATGGCCCTAAACATGCTCTTCGTATATTATCGGTACGGTAGACCTGGGAGACGCACCCAAACTAAAATCATCTTTGGGTCTTCCTCTGCCGTAGAGAAACTTCTTGCCCACGGCTAAACCGTAAGATAGCTTCTGTACACCATCAATGGCCCCCGACTAGAACATTCAGGAAGTCTTCTTTCCGAGAAAAGCGAATAAGAAAGTACTCATTATCCAGATCGACTAATTGTATCTCTCCCACAAGGCGCCACAACGTTTGGACACGATTTAGAAGAGCCGAGTAGCCAATATTCTTCACCAGCAATCTCACAATAAGCGATTTCGAGAGTTTCTCATCTACCGATTAATGAACCCTCTAAGAAAAACGAATCTCCGGTATAATACCATCCATGTCTAAACAAACATCGCCCTCTGCCAAATCCACATCCAAATCACAAATAAAATCCTTCTTTAGGTTACCACCTAATCCTCCAGCAACCATGTCCCTAAACGATGATTTTGAGATTGGTTTTCATGTATTCGTTCCATTCACCGCTTCAGCTCCGATAACTTATTTTGTCAGATAAATTTACTTTGTTCTTGTTTTGGTTAGTTAACTATTTTATGATCTTTTCACATAACTTTCGAATTTCAATTTTTGGTAATTCAACTTTAAGCGTCTAAATGTTGTTTAATTTTTTGGGTAGATTTGTATACAAAATTTCTAAAACTTCTCTCAAATCACTCTTTTGAATCCCTTTGTTGACAAGCCTCTACTCATAGTCTTCATGATGGTTTTTCCTGCTCCTTTTCTCAGACCTCTTTGCACGCCTTCCAACCCGTGAATCGTCGGAATCACTAACATCAGAATCGGAGGGAGATTCATGCCTATGACTGTTTCTCCGATGCCGTTTACCAGAACCGTCAGATACATCTGATGATTCAGAATCATTAGAATGCCTATGACTTTTCCTTCTCCTCTTCTCCTCCCTACTCTTTCTTTTTCTTTGACGACGATGATTCATCCTCCTCTTCTGAAGATTCATCCCTCTTCTTTCTCCTCTTTCCTCCTACCTTCATCCTCGTCATTCGATTCACTAATTCCTCTCTTCATATACTCATTTTCTTTGACCTCCCTCTCTTCTTTCTCCCCCATGATCCGAATCCGAACTATCATCCGCGTCACTCTTCTTCTTTGAAGACTTCATCCCTTCCCTAGCAACCTTCTTCCCAGATCTTTTAGCAATAATCCTCTCGATCTTTGATTCCACATCAGAATCCGAATCCTCACTCTCCTCGTCCTCGTCCTCGTCCTCGTCCTCGTCCTCGTCCTCATTCTCACTCTCCACCTCATTCTTCCCATTCACTTTCCCTCCCTTCAACTTATCCACTCCATTAAGAACCGTAACCTGGATCTCTTCAGGGTCTTTCTCCTTACTCTCCTTCAAACTGACGAGATTTTTACACTGAAAAGTAAGGTTCCCAACACGCCTACATTTTTTACAAACTCCACGAGCCTCATTGGAATTTGAACCAGTGATTCGTGCAAGGGTTAAAAGCCCTTGAAACCTAGTGTACGCGTTTTCGCCATCAGGTTCAGTAGCGGCAGTCATCTGAGTCGATGAATTTTTGGCATCATCTTTATTAGGCGATAAGGATCATACCCAATTGTACTTTGCCAAATCCCGTGGGTTTGTAAGGCGGCGCTGCTATGCATCCGATTGTTCGTCGGCATACGAACCCTCCCTGCAGTGGCCAGCATCTTAAAGCGATTGAGATAATACCCTCACACATTTGGACTTGATAATCGAACAGATGGCAATTGAGAGAGAGGAGGGAGAGATGGGATTTTGATGAAGATGCTTTTAGAGATTACAAATTGAATGAAGATAAAAGCGAAATTTAAATTTTGTCATAAAAAACATTAAATCCAAAAGAAGGGAGAATATTTTATTATCAATTATGTTATAAACGAAGATTGAACAACAGTAAAGAAGGATTCCATCTATGAAACAAATAAGGGTAAAATATTAAGTAAATTTCATAAATAAAAGTATCTTAAATATTAAATTTTAATATTATAAATATTCATAAATTAAATGACTTCAATGATTATTGTTATTTTTTTTGAGCTCTTGAGTTCAAATATGATGTTTGCAAAAATGAATTAGCGTCATCTGTTAAATGATTTCAATTTTTTAGAAGACTTAATAAAAAATATAAGTGTCTAAACTATGCATCAAAAAATGTTTTAGTGTCTAAAGATTTTTTTGTTAAAAATAGGTGTCTAATATTTTCAACGTTATATTTTTAGGTGTCCGGTCGTTAACCGCCGTTAAAAATCTCTGTTAAGTGACATGTGTCACATTCTGATAATTTTGAGAATTTATTTAAAAATTTTAAAAATAAAAATATTTATATTATAAAAAGAAATAACAGCCCTTGCTCCCTTCTCCCCCTTCCATAGTCATCGTCTAGTCAGTCGTGACTGTCACCGCTGCCGCCATCAGCACCGGTGTCAACCCCGATCAAAACCCTGTTGACCTTTCATCGTAATCCGCCACCGTTTTTCGTGGAGAAGCGTTTAAAGTTCGTCGGGTTTTAAGCCACGTCGTTGTTCTTCTTCGATTTCGGCCAATTCCGACTTCCATAACCCACACCGCCATCACCATTTGAACCATTGTGCATTTTCGATTAAAACACAACCGTTCGAAAATGACGATGATGGCCAACAACAATTGATAATGGATTGAAATGAGAAATTCTAATTTTTTAGGGGTTTTTTATAATTTCAGTAAAAATTTGGGTTTTTTATTATAAATAAATTAAGTTTTAAATTTTTAATTTTTTAAAATAATATTTTTATTATTAAAAATTTTAAAAATATAACGATAGACACCTAAAAACATAACTGAGAAAATATTAGTCAACTATTTTTAGAGAATAATTCTTTAAGAACTAAAAAAATTCAAGATATAATTTAGATATTTATTTTTGTATTAAGTATTTTTAAAATAGATACTACTTTATTAATAAAATATAATATTTAAATAACAAAATTTTAAAAAATAGATTTTATGCTTATAAATGATAACCCTAAATAAAACCTAGATTCACTTAAAATATTGAATGTTGCGTTTTCCCCTCGTAGCACAACCGAATATACCGACGAAGAACATCTCTTTCAGTGAGAAGTCAACAGAAACGATGGATTCCTTGCAATTCCCAGTGAAACAAGTGTATGATGATGATGATGGAATCCAGGTAATTCTCTGTTAGTTTAATGTTCTTGATCCCAACTAGCCAGGTCGAAAACAATTTTGTGCATTTAGAATTTGAGAAACTGAAAGACAAACTTGTTCACAGGCTAAACCAGAAAAATCCATGGAAGAAGATTTCATTGAACAAGTGTGTGACGACGGAAATAAGTGTTGTAATCCCTGCATCTTCAGAACTCCTTTCCCTGGATTACAATTCCAGGAGCCTCAATTGGCTTCTATTGGCCCTTTTCACTGCACCAAAACCCTCCCGCTTCAACAATACAAGTACTCCTTCCTCCACAGTTTCGTATCGCGGGTAAAGAGACGAGACAAAGATTTACGATTCTTTGTCCGACAGATGACGGCTCTTGAGCGGCGCGCTAGAAGATGCTACTCCGAGGAAGTGTCGATGTCGAGTCCCGAATTCGTCGAATCGATGTTGGTCGACGGTTGCTTCGTAATGGAGGTTCTTCTGGGGAATTTTGGTGGAGGATCTGAAGATTGGCGTTTCCCAATTGAACCATGGCAGCTTCCCATTTTGGTTCAAGACCTGCTCATTCTAGAGAACCAAATCCCTTTCTTTGTTTTGGAGATGTTGTTTGAGTCACTGGGGAGCCAGGGCCAAGAAGGGTCACCAGCAGTTTCTTTATGCACCATGGCCCTGAAGTTTTTCGATCTGGTCTTCCCTCGATCGACGGATATCAGCTGCGAATTCGACCATTTGGAACCCCACCATTTACTTGATTTGTTTCTCCAATCCATCCGCCCATTGGATCCAAGCCGTTTCCATATGAAGACTACGATCTTCCCGAATTTTGTTTACTCACTTCTGAAGAAATTGGATGTCAGAAACCAAGCTGATGCCTCAAAGAAAGTTGACAATGTAACCAATCTGAAGTTGAAGGGGGTTGAACATGAACAACAATGTGATCCTCTACCGCCATTTCACTTAACAATGAATGTAACAGAACTCCAAGCATCGGTTATAAAATTGAGGCCGAGAAACGTTGCTAGGTTCACCGATATCGATTTCAAGAATGGGGTGCTTGGAATCCCGTCTATAACCATTGATGACCTCTTCATCGCCATCCTTGTTAACTGTGTGGCCTTCGAGCATAGTTCTAAGACAGGCTCCAAAGACTTGACTGCTTATGTCTCTTTCATGAGTAGGCTCATGAAACGTCCTGCTGATGCGGAGTTGCTATGCTCAAATGAAATCATCTCAAGTTTTTCTCACAATGACCCAAAAGTGGTAAAATCTTTTCATTTTCTCTGGCTACATATTCCCTACTTCGACGTCCAACATTCCTATCTTTCCAAGAGATTGAAGGAACTAGAGTGCTACTATACAAGATATGAAAAGGCTCGGTGGTGGTCGAGTTTCGTGTCGAGATATTGGACAACTCTGTTCTTCTGCATCACAAACCTGTTGTTTGATTTCAACCATTTAAGATCGGGTGTTAATCTGATGATCCATTTGGTGGTACAACAAGTTAAATTTAATGGCATATATCCAGAGTTTGAGGGTAATACTAATATCACATGTCCTCAAGACTATAGCTCTTTTATCTGTTATTCTGTTTTCTGTGTCGCTCGCTTTATATATAACAGAGTGAGAGGGCGTGTGAAATCCATGGACTTGAGCCTTAGCAAGTTCACGGCCTTCCTTTTCATCATTGTTGTCATTGTCATTATGATGTTCGTGGTTTCTGAAACCCCTACTCCAACACTCACAGTCGACAAACAAGTTATAGACGATGAAAATTCGGTCACGGTCGAAGGTTCTTCGAGAGTCAATGAGAAACATGTGGGGGCAAAAGACAAACAAATAGAGGTTGAAAATCCATCGAAGAGGAGGGACACCAGTAGAGTGCCATGGCTTTCAGAGACAGTAAGTGGGGAGAAATATGAAATCATTGTGGATTGTGTGAGCAAGGATAAAGATGACAAGTATTATAATGAGCCATGGAGAAGAATATTGGAACATGAAGTGGTTCGGATGCTGGTTTCGGCTTTGAGAGTCGCGTGAACAAGTGGTATATAGAAATCTTCAATGGACAGTATCTTTTGGTCTGAAAATCTATGCATGATCTTATTTGATGTTCTTTTTCTTGTGCTAAATGGTTGTGGAGAGTACTTTGAGTTTAGGAAATGGAATTCAATAGTATTAACATCCTTGTGGAAAGACGCCATTTTCTTTAGGATGAAGCTTAGTTTGTTGTTGGTTCAAATTCCAAATTGCTGAAAACATAACTAATGGAATCAATCAGAGATATTGGTGTATATATATGTACAGAAGTTGCTATAATTCTGCTTTCTTTTCTTTTATAATATTGCTGTCATTCTTTGGTTTAAAAGGAAAAAGGGAGGATCAGTTCAAGGGTTTTGAACCCGAAGTGACGAACACGCAACCTTCTGAACTGGAGTCAGACGCGCTACAATTGCGCCACGGATCCCTGTTGTTTAATCACTTGCATAATACTAATCTAATTTAAAAGCAACACTAAACTATGCGGCATGACGTTCGATCATCCTCATGTTAGAGAAGGGAATCTAAGGAACAAACCGAGTGTTAAAGGTTATACAAGGATCCATCCCATCATTTTTTAATAGAGAGCAACATATATAAAAACGTGTTTAGATACTAATAAGAAGTTGAAATGATTGCACCCATGACAACAGTTGGGTCATGGAGTGTGTAAAGGAGTGAGCAGTAGCACCAACCATTTGAATATATGTCCTAAAAACCAACCAAAACACACTCCCAGGTATGCGGAGGTACAATGACACGACGACAACAATCAATATGGTAGATTCAATGAAACACGACCCTTTTCGATACCTGGTCTATGAAAGGTATAGCTATATCGACAACGGAACCAAGTTCTCTTGCATCTACGTGAGACCGACTGACTGGTAGTTCAGAACAAACACATGCTTAAGTAATGCACGCAACGGACACTATTATGGTTGCCTTGTCTATAAAAGGGAAAATTATATCAATATACATGTGCAAGCATGAAGATGTAAAATATTTAACAAATATGCAAAAACAACCAGAATGGGCTGAATTTGTCTCGTTCAACAGCCACTTCGGCCACAAATAGGATTATGACTTGGGAGAGACGAGGAAATGTAGATATGCACACAAAAAAACAACAACAACAGAGAAGTTCTATATAAGGTCAAGCTTCCAGCATACTTGTTTACAAAGAATGTCGAGACAAAACGTTCGTATATTCCTAGCCAACACTTGCTGCTTGACCATGACAAGTAATGGTGAAGTATTGAAAAAGGCATTGGATATCAAACTATGTTTCAATAGATTCCAAGTTTTCAATCAATCATCGTCGGTAATCTGCAGGTGATACAACATGTGGATATCAACACGTAACTCGGCATTCAATTTAAAAAAGTTCTCCATAACAGGAAAATTAAAAAGAAAAGAAACCGACATTTTTTCCTCCATCTAAAGTGCCCATAGTTTTCTTTTGCAACTTATCATGCAAACTGGAGGTAGAATATGAACTACCAATTACATGCAATTCTAGAGGAGAATATGAACTATTTCCTGAAGCTAAACTTTAGAGTTCACCAAAATGCATTTGTTTTCTCCAATATTTACCGATCTTATACATCGAGTCAACAACCTAGGTACCTAAACTCAAAAGGGGAAACCATAGCATCATTCTTATAAACATTTTTGGCTGGATTAGATGAGGAACTACCAGTTTATTTACTTCGAAAAACAAAATTCTTAAAGAAGCACATCGGTTTATCATTAGCAAAAACAAGGAAATTAAAATGAAACTACAATTGAGAATATGGAGAGAAAAAATCACTGATTGAACATGTCAAGGTGAACACTATAGCAATTACTAAGCAAAATAAACACTTAAAATCCTCAAAGTACAACTTAAAAGTTCCCTAAAACGTCAAAGTATTTTGAGAAGTACCTATCTCCAAAAGCAACAGCGGAACGAACATACATGATTAACATCGAGCACCATGTAATTGTTGTCAGGAGGCTAAAACTAGTCTCAAAGTACCCAACCTACTTATTTGACCCCTGTATGAACCGATGTCTAACAATCGAAAATGTGCAACTTGCTTTGCCTCCATGCGCTGGCATCAGGGTCCCAATCTTGCAACAACCCTCTGAAAACCGACTCCAAAAACAAATCAAGGTACACCTTTTTTTCATCAATCTCCCTACAATTTGAAGGTCAAACTTGAATACAGTTGTCCATCTCTTCCCCTTCGCTACAGCACGAATTGGTCACAGTTTTCCTTACTTCTTCCTCACAATTATTAAGCAACAGCCTTCCATCATTCCCTGCCATTTTCTTCTGGCTACACTCCTCAACCAAACCCTTCTCCTTTTCTTTCACATTCAAAATATCGCAAAAGAAATCAGTCAAAACGATTTCATAACCGGGCATTTTCGCATAACCCGGGAAATAGTTAATGTCGATGATAAGATAACGATTCCCGAACCGAGTATCCCTTATCACATCGAAATTAAACAAATTCAATTTCATAGCCTTTCTCAAACCCTTAGCAATATCTGCCATGAAACTCTGCGGCGGCAATTCAGTATCCTCCAAATGCATCATCTTATAATACCGATCATCGTTTTTCTCGTGTGTAGGCAAATTGGAAACTTGAGAAAACCGTAGAGAGCCCTCTAGGGTCTTCAATTTTTCTTCCGAAACATCGGGTAATGACTTCCTTTTAACGCATTGCACATAGTCCCCGACGACGTAAACCTTGAAAATCACCCCTCCATGGTTAACAAACTCCTGCAATACAATTGGGGGCTTAAGCTTGTTCAATCCATCGCGGTTGAAAACCAGAGTCATTTTGTGCGATTTGGCGCTCCCGTCAGCCACCAACGGCTTCGCAATCACCGGAAACTTAAGCAACTCCCAAGCTTGGTTATCGAATAGGGTTTCTTGATCGTAAATCACAATCTGTTTAGGGATCCCAAATGTTTCGCTCTGATTCTCGATCTTCAGTTCCGACACCACCTGCAGCATCGAAATCCTGTTGTGCAGCCTTTCAATTGCGTCGGGAGAATCGACGATTACGGCATTAGGGTTTTGAGAACGGAAATCCTTGAGTTGGCTCTTCCAATCCTCGCCGTACAACTTGTGGAGCACGCAATCGAACGGACCTTGATCGACCAAAGGACGCTCCCTGTCGATCTTAACCAGATCCACGCCTCGCGATTTCGCTAGATTCACCAGAGATTCACGGATGAAACTGTTCTCTTTCTTCAGCAATAACGCGTAACCAATCTCGAAACTCCTCTTCTCTCCCGCCATTTCTCTGATATTTTCCCACCAATTCGATTCCTCTTTTATATAAAAAAAATCCCTTCTTCCCACTTGTTTTCTTCGCCGCTTTAAAACTCGATTTCATAAAACGAAACGCTCGTCTCTTTTCATTTTAAATTTTCCCAAGAACCAAACGGAAAACGGATTTACCAAAAACTCAATCTTTTTGATTTTTTTAGAGTGGTTTTTCTTTTTTTTAAATATATTTGATTCAATTTCTGGAAAATGTTCGCTAAAAGCCTTCGAGAAACCGAAAATACGTAGAATATTTCAAGGGGATAAAAATAACCAAATTCGATTAGCTCGAGGAAGATGTATTTATAACCACGACGACTAGGGTTAGAAAACATGATACAGTCACCCGGGGTGACTCTACTATTTGAACACGTGGCGTATTCTTGTGAAGATAGCCAATTACCGCCGCACAATCAAAGAGAATGCGTGGACGGAAGATGGACGGTTGTTTGTTGAGGATAAAAGTGACAGCTGAGTGATGATGTGGTCAACGTTTGATTTGAACTGACGTGGAGGAGGCTTTTTTATTTTTTCTTTTTGGGAATCTTTGTAAAAAATATGTTAATTTTATATTAAAACCCCAAATAATCAATTATTTAAAAAATAAAATCATCCAAATATTATTTGAAAAAATAACCTCAAATCATCCACATCAGACGATCTTGTAGCCTACAAACAGCGTATTAAATCCTCGCACCCTCCAACACGTGAGATACATCCGACGTGAGACACTTTTCAGGTAAGCTAATAAAACAATTAGATAAAATGACTTCGTGCATTGCGAAGCGTTAGGCAACCTTTATGATTCAAAATATCGCGAGATTTATGGGAAATCTCGAGGCAAAGTGCGAGAATAATAAATTTTTTACCCTCCCTTTAGTGTTAATAGCCTTGTTCATATACTATTTTCGGGTGGAAAACTGGATTTTTTAAAAAAAAAAATTAATTATAAACGCATAGTGTTGTAATTTATCTTTAAGGTAACTATGATATCATCATATATAAGACATTTTAAGTGGGGGAAATGACGTTGAAAATGGTTAGAAATTATGGTTTTGTGAATATTGCACATCACCAGCATCCTCGTCAAAAAATAATGCATACAACTCTATTGACCCTCCAAATCAATATTGCAAGTTAGCGTTGACCATCATATGCACATTATCATTGTCCTCAAAGGTGTATAGTGTGTAAGTTAATGGTTCTAACAACATCGGTAGTCGATACTTAAAGGGTAACAATTTTGTATCACGAGAATGTGGAACATTTTTCTTCATTTACTTCATCAACTTGTTACACGTTAACTTCGTTGGTAGCGTTATTGTCATAGTGTGTGCGGACTGAAACACGACACCGAGATATGCATCACCGATCATTTCGCCATCGTAATATACTAAAGTATTAAGGCTTTCTCTCATCGAAATTTTAGCTGAGTTGTTGCCCGATAATAATGAATTGCGGTTGTTTTATTGGCATTCAAGAACCTCGTAGGTTGCAAGATGTGATTTCCAAATAACGCGGGTTGCAGAGTGCAAGATCTTGGTATCTCTCTGTAACATCCGCAATACCGGGTTAGTGACCAAATTGTAAAGTTTCAGAATTTGGTGACTAAAGTATAAGAATGAAATAGTTCAATGATTATTGGATATATATGATGAAGGTTAATTAGTAATTATTAAAGGAAATTAAGGGTTAAATGGTCATTTGACCAGAAAGATTTTTATATTCTTTTTTAAGGGTAATATAAACGTGGGATATGTGAGAACCATCCAGAGTGCTCTTCTCTTTTCTTCTTCTTCATACGTGGGAGAGCAAGGAAAAGGTAAATTAATTTTAGTTGGTTAATTCTTGAGTTTTAAGCTTAGTTTTGATTCTTTGGGTATTAAATAAGCTTAAGGAAAGCTTATATGGGATTTAAACAATAAGATAAAGGAATTATGAAGGAATTTGCAATATGAGTTTTAAGATGAAATTTTGATATGGTAAGGTTTTTGAAATTCTAAGAATGAATTTGACTTGTCATCAATCTAATTAAGAAGTATGAAGTGTTAGAATTGGAATTAGAACACATTGAAAATTTGGTATGATTCTTGAATCTCATATGGAAGATAGGATTTTGAGGTTTAAGATGAAATAAATGAATATAGATTGGTTTAAGTATGTGTACTAGAGTTAAGAATGAAAAGGGGATGATATATGAAGTGTTTGAGTGGAAATGAAGTAATTTTCGGGTTGAAAATATGATTTCTGGGCAAGGGGAATCGGTACCCATTCAAGGGGAACCGATACCCCTTCAAACGACAGAATTCCAGAATGTCTTGAGGGAATCGATACCCCCATAGTAGGGAACCGATTCCCCCTAAAGGAAAATGTGAATATTGGTTTAATAAGTTCGTTTAAGCTGCTAGTATCCAATTACAAGGTGTAGGTATCTAATGATTGCCTCGAAATGTACATTTATGTAAATTCTACGCATAAAGCAATTCCGGAACGTTTGGCAAGTAAAATCGATCAAGGGAAAGATAAGAGATTGGAATTGACTAGTGAGACCAGGTGAGTGCATATTCAATAGTATATGATGTGCGATGGGAATAAGACTTGCGATGAGTCTATTTCCTGAAGTGTTACACATGAATGCATGATTAAAGGCATGAGTTGAATATGCATGTATGTATGCTTGATTATATGGATTGATCTGTTCTTTTATGTGTTAGATGATAAAGTATAAGTAATTACATAAGAAAGGTTATGAATTATATGAGATATAAACTATGTGATCATAGTAAAATATAATTATTATTATATGATAAGTGAAATAAGCTAGATGGGAAAGATTCATATGTTTAAATAAAACTATAACACATGGGTTGTATGATAGAAATTTATGAAGTTATATGAGAAGATTATAGGAGTTATGTGAAATTGAATTAAGTAAACAGATTAGATTATATACCTAAAGAAATAATAGAAGTGAGATATGTTTATAAGTCTGCCCTAGATGAATATGAATATGAATTATAAGAGTGCTATATGATTTATATTAGGATAAATCTTGAGGATATATATATATAGATAAATATGAAATGAAATGAAATGAGTTATATGAATACATAATTATGTGATGGAATGGTGGATTACCTGAACATGTGAATATATATGTCTAAGAGAAGGCATAAGATTAAGATATAAGCAATGTGACTATAAGTATATATGTGCTCTAAGTGATATGACTTATAGGTATTTCTATTATAATGTTACATAATATGTTATGTATGTTAAATGAATTATGTGATGGTATAAGAAATGATATGAAATATATATATATGTGAAAACAAGTATATGTTATGAGATAAGACCTATGACTATAAGCTACATGAAAGTGTTCTAGGTGTTTTTATATATTATATGAAGTATATGATCTTATATGAACAAGATATGATAAGTATGGTTATATGAATAAAGGTGATTGGGTGAGAAATGATAGAAATTATATGAAAACATGATATATGTGACATGTGAATTATATGGAAATGATCTACGTATAAGTGAACTACGTAACTATGTGATAATATGAAAAGAAGCTATGTGATACGTGATATGTGAAAGTGAATTACAAGTTTATGTGAATATTTGAAATGAAATAAATGATAACGCCCATGTTATGTGTCATGAGAGCTAGGGGTATAGTTGGCATGCCAAGAGTCGAGGGTTTACCTATATCTTTCAAGACATATGGACAGTTTACCTAGGTTCTTCGGGACCTATGGACAGTTTACCGAGGATCTTTATGACCTCTGGACAGTTACCGAGGATCTTTATGACCTCTGGACAGTTACCGAGGATCTTTATGACCTCTGGACAGTTACCGAGGATCTTTATGACCTCTGGACAGTTACCGAGGATCTTTATGACCTCTGGACAGTTACCGGGGTCTTTGTGACCTCTGGATAGGTCCTTCGGGACATTTATATGAGCTGTGGTGACAGCATAGTGGTGCACAACCTCAATAGACTCACATATCTACAGTTCTCACAAGTGCACATGGGCTAATAAAGAGATAACATGGAATGTAATGTATAAGATATATGTGATGTGTATACTTATGGTGATATGTCATGTGTTGCTTGAATTATAATGATGTTGATAAAGATAATAATATACATGGGCAATGCAATTGGAAGACAAACGAAAAGTGAAAGTAATACAAGAAGATATGTTGCGTGTATGTATGACATGATTATATATATTGTTATCATGCAATAGATACATGCATATTGAAATGTCATGATTCAATGGTATGAATGCACGTTCATGAATTTATTGTTATATGTTTAATTATTGCCTCACTAAGTCAACGAATTAGCGTGTGATTGTTTCACACGTAGGTTTCGAGAAGAATAAAGAGTAATGCGGAGCAAGACAGGTCAGTTCTCCTTACCAAATGTCAGATCAGAAAATGTATGTACTGTTTACAGAGTGTAGTTGGCATGTAGTCTAAAGATATAAATGGTATGAACTCTGATATCTGTTGTAAACGTTTTGAAATAATTTAAATGTTATCAAAGTTTTTAAATTACTCACTATTTTATACGAATAAATGTTTGAAAAGTCAATGTGATACTTCGGACTCGTATCCGGGTCGGATACGGGTTGGGGGTGTTACACTCTCGTTTTGCAAGATGAGTGGTTGCTAACGTATTATAGATACCGCGAAATGCATGGTGTGATTTTCACTGAAAATATTTTGATTAACTCAAAATAAAATAGTTTTGTACAAATATTTCAGTTTTGAAGAACGAAATAAATAATAGCTAATAATGCTTATATCCACCAATTCCGCATCGTGGTGGACAACGATTACAATACGAATGTAATTGCGGTTCCTCTTCCTCTTCAACAATATCATCATCATCATTACCAGCAATTGTATATGGAATCGATCCACCATTATCATTGGAATCGGGACCGGTGTAGAATATGCTCTATGACAGCGTCTGCTCAATAATACTATATCCAAAGTTAGCCGCCAATTACATTGTTTTGAAAACCGGATCGGACCGGCCGGTTCAACCGGGAACCATGTGCTAGTCCGGTTCAATCTAAACCGGTTGAACCGCTACTAGTGAACCGGCCAGAACCGCTACTAGTGAACCGGCC